GTGGCCCCTCTCCTTCTCCAGTCTCCCCCTCTCCCTCGCCGTGCGGCAGGGATATACATGATCCCAATGGCCGCCAGTGCGGTGGCCAACAGGTCGCTCGCTGCCGGCACCGCCACCAGCAGGATCTTCCGCCGGCGGCTGCTGCCATCGGCGGACCCTGGAAGCGCCGCGGCGCGGTGCGACCCGGTCGGAGTGGGGCGCGGAGCTGGGGCGGCAGCTGGGCGGTGGGAGAGAGAGTGGGTAAAGCTGCTGAGTGAAGGGATCTTGGCGAATGGCCAAAGCATGAAGACTAGGGCTAAACTAAGCGAAAACGCTATAGGGTCTTGCCACACTCAGAAATGGTGCACTGGTCAAGAGGGGGGTAGGTCGATGAAAACCCAAGTCCCTTGGGGTCCCTGCACCTGGCTTTGGCAGCAGCTCCTGGCTTCGTGCGTCCTGGCGAAGAATGCCGCATCATTAAACCGCACAAGATGGCGCTGTTGCACGTGTCTACCCAGCACGCAAGAACCCCAGAGACTCACGCTTTTCAGCTCTAAACCCCGTGTATAGGCTGGAAAAGAACAGAAAAACGACATAGGGGTAGCGGCTGCGCATCGTCATCGCAAAAAGGGCTCCATGTTGGTGGCACACTTGGGTTTGGTGGTTGCGAGATGACATGAACACATATGAAAACCTGAGGATCCTGGCTGATCTCGTTTGACCCACTCCAGGTACCTCCATGCCGATCCGGAACATTCCCTGGTTCACGGCGGCTGGTGGCCAAGTGCATTCGTGGTCTGGAGAGTCTCTTCTTTTGGGGCTTCACTCGGCTTCACCGCTAGTTCTGACGGTGCGGATTCTTTTTAGCACTGCATGGAGAAAAACACCCCAAGGAAGTCGGTTCTGGATTCTGTAAGCTGTGTGTTTACAGGCTATCCAAGGGTGGGGAAGGTCCCATTCAAGTGGACCTAGAGCGAGCATGATCTTGCAGTAGATCAGCATGGTATTTCGGAGTTGCTTGGGCGTCTTCACATGCACGCCCTTGCTCTAGCCTCCCCTCCTGCCCAAGAGGTGTTTTGGAAACGACCATATACGACCGGAATCCAAGTTGTCCTCCACATCCAACACCCACCGAATGGAAACCAAACTCAGAATACCCAAACACTTCATGGTATATACATCTACATATATATATATATATGGGGTGGTGCTCCTCCATATGCCAGTCGCCGACAGAGGTTGCGCAAGCCAAACACATCATAAAACATCAAACAAACAACAAACACAAACGGTGACATCGCCGGACGATCACCTGCTTGATGGATTTTGCGTGGGCAAGTCCACCAGACTGAGCGACGTCGTCCCGCACGCACAGACGCGAGCGAAGAAACCCCGACCCACGCGACCTCCGCTATGCGTGGTCGGGCAGCACAGCAGGCCGTCAAGCCGGCGACCAAACGTTCAACGGCCAAGACTAAGGACATGGCCTTGTGGCGTCGGGCTCGGGCTCGTTGCAGATTGGACGCTTGGTGTATCTGGGGCTGCGTCATGCATGTCTGGGAGTGTATTGTTGTGGCCGTTCCAGGGCCGGGATGTTTGACTATGGGGTATGCGAGGTATGCTTCGCCTAAGTCGAACATCCCAACTTCAACTGGGCACCTTCCAAAATACAAAAAACAATGTAATAAACAAGCGAGAAGAACCCACCAAAAACGACACCCACAATGCAATGAAACGCCCGTATTTCTGCGGGAGGACCGTCGGGATTCGACTCCAAGGTCCTCCCTATTGGGCCCACGAGGTCGAACCCCGCACGGGCCCCAAAGGGCTCCGGTTCCAAGCGGACTGGATCTTCGGGAACGAATGGATCCAGTGTTGGACCTCATGTGACTGGTCAGTTGTTTATATAGAAATCACTACTCAGTGAGGTTTTCAGGACCAGGTTTTACTGGGATGTAGAGGGACAGCCGATGACGGCCGATATCTCTGATTTCTGTCTTCCGCTGCTTTTTGGTGGAGGCCTTCCAGACCGCCGCCGACCGCGATGCGAACCGCAGAAAAATGGCGAACGAACCGTCCGAGGTTCAAAGAGCATGTTGAAGGTGCCGAACCAAGGCTTTCGGAAGGTCTCCTCATCACCATCCTCGCTGCGGAGTGTGGCTTCGACCGACCCCAGCACCGGCTGAATTGCGTGTGTTTTTCTCGGCTAAAACGTGTGGCACCTCTACTGGGCCTGGGTTGAAAAGATTTGAAGAGAACTGGGTGGAAGAAGGACATCCATGGTTGAAGATTCCGAAACTGAGGTATCACATCCCTGCTTGGTCTCCAGGGACACTCTCCCTTGCCACACCCCGAGATTCTGAGAACGAACAAAGCCATGATGAGCCCGCCAAAATCAGGCTGCCCCAGATCTTTAGCCCCCAATGCTAGACCTGTTGCCGACTGGCATATTTTTACATACATTGGGGTGGTTGATTCAGGGGTCAAAGTAGGTTAATATTCCAGTCCCAAACACATCGTGTCTGGGAATGGAAGTGCACTTTGGACGGCTTCGGAGAATCTTTACCAGCAAGCAGAGCTAGGGTCATGAACCATGAAGATGTCGAACTGGTCTTGAAGCTAGAAAAGACATGAAAAGACGCCGTGGGTTCATGTTGCTCAATTTGAGGAACCAACAATCCAAGTCTCACCTGCTATTTCCTGGACTGAACTGACATGCTTCATGCGGCAATCCAAGTCGCCTAAAAATCTGTCTGCGCGGACTGAAGGACAGAAGGCTGTGCGGAGCCATCAGCACACGTTGAAAAAGCAAACGGGGCCGTTTACATCTTTGTGGAACTCTTCTGCGGACCGTGGACACGAATCTGATTTTTGGGGAACGAGTCTTCCAAAACGTTTGGCGCTGAGTCGAACCAAGCTTCCTTGCCGATGCTGGTCAATTGGAACTGCAGCTTGGTCGAAAGCGTGTTGATGCTTCCAGTGATCAGCATGCCAGCCACATAGAGAGCAGTCAGCCATAGCGGCGTTTTCCTTATCACAAGAAGAGTTGCTGAACGCGGCTTGTGTATTTTATGATTATTATATGGTATTGTGGTTCCCAATATAGATAGATTTCAGATTTCAGATAGATGAAACAAATGAAATTCTACTGTCAGCGCCGAAAGTTGCATCAACTTCCTCCAGGTATGTTCTCCCCCATGGAACTCCGCGCATCAACTCTCAAAAAAGTCACCTCAACAATTTGCGCCACTGTAACTGCGATGATTTTGTTAACTTTTTGTTCTTGGGATGCGTTTTAGTCACCTCAACTGTGTCAGTTACATGCAGTCTAGCATGTTTCGGACATGTACAGAAAGACATGTGTTTCAAGTCTATGAGAAGGTTCCCCCATGTAACTGCGATGATTCTAGGTGGAACATCAAGAGGATGATGCATGTTGTTTGCCAAAAAATGCTTTCCAGGATCTGGTAACAAAAGGTTATATCCAGAATATGTCCTGAACAAATCACGGTCAAACCCCACCAGCTCGAGTATGAGTTGAGTGTCCGCTCGTGCATGAAGGTTCTCTTTGACAGTAACCCCCAAAGAGAATGCTGATGACGATTCTTGGACTGGAGAATGCAGCGTCGGGGGAACAACCCTTTGCTTTGTATCAGCAAAGGCTGCGGCCAAAATCCGGTAGAACATCATCCCTTATACTACTAGTAACAAGTGCCTCGCTACTAGTAACAAGGGCCTTACTAGTAGTAACAAGTGTCTTACTAGTAACAAAAAGCTATTAGAATTAAATGAAACATTAAACTAAATTAATAGCTTCTTGTTACTACTAGTAAGGCACTTGTTACTAGAAGCGATGCACTTGTTCTAATCCCCACTAAACTAAACCGTCCATTTGGAAGTTTGGTCCTAGCACACACACACATGGTCGACTGAAAGGAACCTCATGTCTTTTCTTCCTTTTGTCTTCGACCTCTGCTTCGATCTATCCACTCTAGACCTTTATGAACTGTCCTATGACAGATCCAATTCCGATGGACCGAGTAATGATCTCACCCGGGCAAGTTTGCCTTGATATATTGGGGCCCAAGTGATTAACACGACTAACTTTTGGTCTCCTCTCAGCACATCCGGTGCCACCACAGAATTCCTAGCCATGAGTGGCTGAGGCTCTTTCTCCCAGCCATGCCAGGCCACCAAAATGCCGAAGATCATAGATCTTGAGCCAGCCATACAGTACAGAATCTATGGCATCAGCTCTTTCTGTCATGGGGACGTCTATGTGACGTCTATGGCCAACAAAAGAACATCTCTACAATGGCTCGACCCTCCCAAAGACAAGTCAACCCACTGCATACCTCCTCCCAAAGACGAGCGAACCCACCGACCCCCCATTGGTGCCATCCCTTAATCACTGTGTTCTGGCTTCTCCGAGCTGTGGATGCCCAAGCACATCCTAATTACACTTAATTCCAATTAAATTCTAATAGCTTCTTGTTACTACTAGTAAGGCCCTTGTTACTAGTAGCGATGCACTTGTTCCTAGTAGCGTCCTTGTTCCTATTCTAATTAAATTCAAATTCTTGTTTCCAATCGCTTCTTGTTACTACTAGTAAGGCCCTTGTTCCTAGTAGCGATGCACTTGTTCCTAGTAGCGTCCTTGCTCCTACTCTAATTAAATTCTAATTTAAATATATATATATATATATATTGTTTCTACTAGCTTCTTGTTCCTAGTAGTAAGGCCCTTGCTCCTAGTAGCGATGCCCTTTGCTCCTAGTAGCGTCCTTGCTCCTACCCCAGCACCTGCACGGATTAAACAATTACATTCTGATGTATACACATTACATTGGGTACAATATTTTTCGGCATCACACCACTTCGTGGCTGCAGTCGGAGCCCTTCTGGTTGAATGGAAAAAGAACTGTCCGTTCAACATTGTTCCCCAATCCCACCCTGTTGGAGTCTCCCCTTTCGATGGAGACCTGTCGATTCGTCTTCAAACCTGCCCTGAGCACCCTTGCTCTCGGGCGTGCCCCGCCAGCGCTCTGCCTGGAGTAGTTGCTTTTCTCAGCTTTGCCGGGGTCATGTAGGGCAGGGCAAGGAAAACACACACACATACCTGCATCCAATGGGTGTCCAATGGACATCTCTAAGTAGTAGGGCGACCCCTTGGATGGTCCTGGTACATGGAAGTTGGAAGGGCAAATCCACTGGTTTGTTGGAAGAGCTGTAGTTTTACGAGTACCTAGATCTAAAAAAACACGACCCAATTGAAAAACACATATGTAAGACCCTAAATACAGCTTCCCTTTCCTCTCCTCCAATTGTCCCCTGTAACTTTGCTTTCTACTACTAAATTGCCCCAAGGTCACATTTAGGGGTGCGGTCCTTTTATTAGTTGCCCATCATTTGCCCACCTAAAATACCACCAATCATACCCCGAACCAGCGACAAGCTGCATCATCACGCATGTGCAACCTTTCCAAAACACATGGAACTGCAACATCACCTTTCAAAATCTTTGGTTGTTTGTCTGTGGAAAGTTTACAAGCGAAGAATGTCGAAGAGGGCTTTCCAAATAGAACAGGAAGACCCTTCGATCTGGAGGTGTTGTCCATTTCTGATAGGACTTTAGAACCCGCTTTAAAAGGAAAAAGAACAACACTTGGTGGGGTGTCTTTAAATAGGTTTAAGGGATTAGTCTTTCAATGTTGGCCAATTCAAATCTGCAAGTGAGCACACTTGCCAGTGGACATCTCATGACATCTCACTTGTATTTTTGGGCCTACTTTGGGGTGTACAAGGGGTCCAGTCTCAAGCGTTGGTAATTGTATTGTCATTCATAATTAAAAAACCTCCCACTCATGTTCCATGGAAGTGGATGGCATGACAATTCGCACGTCCCTCTCATCACCAGTCATAGCTCGAGGTCAAAACCCTGAAAGCCCTGACCGCACCCAGCAACATGAGCAACATGCTCTGTTTGAAGACACCACTTTGACACCCAAATCCAGGTCTCTAATCTAATCGAACCCTTCAATCAAATGATCAACCAAGTCTAACATCTCCTCCCCTCCCAGCACTCCCAGACCACTCCTGACCCATCTCCCACCCAACACAACCACTCGTTTAGGCCCCCCCCGTTTCGCGCCCCGCCATCTTCGCATGCAGCACCAAGGGCAGCGTTTCACCGAGCCTGAGCAAATCATGGAAACGACGTGTTCACGCAGATGAAAACATCTACCCTTTGCAGATCAACACCGTAGAGGTACCTTCATGTCCTTTTGTTCAACACATCTGAACACAACCAAATGCATAATTATCGTGAATAATATGATATATGATGATAGATTATGCTTAAGATGTTTTAAGATTGTCATAAGTTTGATTTTCGCCTTCAGCAAAATCGTGACTCACGGTGATCCTCCGTCTCCCACCGTCGTTTTCTCTCCGCCCGTCGCTCTCCCCGCGGTCGCGGCAAGACGTGCACCGCCGTCTGCAGCGACGAGGTCTGCAGCTTGGCTTCGCCGCGCAACACCTGGGTGGTTCGGAACGGCTGGGGCTGGTCGGTGACCATCGTCTCGAGTGGTGAAAACTTCTTGCTTTGAAGGCAGCTGCTCACAGTACTGGCTGTCTGTGAGGCTTCAGTGGTCGACTCGTTTGTCTATTCTGGTACTTCAATGTACTTCATATCTCACTATGGTTGACCAGTTACATACATTCTCGCGTGTGCATGTATTTTGTATGTTGGACCCTGACCCCACCGGCTAAGCATGGCCTTGCTGGGACGTCAAACGAGGAAATCGTTTCAGCAAATGGCTGCCACCTTGAAAGGGTTGCTTTCTCAGTGGGGTTCCAGCCAAGCAACTCGCCAAACGTTCAAGAGGAGGCGGCCAGGGAGCTCCAAGCCTGGACGGGACACACCGTCTCTTTCTCCAACCCGGGTGACACGGTGATACAGTACCCAGAGATACCCAGAGACTCCATGGGACTGCCACATATGCCGATCAGTTGGGGTGGTTTGAGGGGTCAATGGGGCGGCATATATGGCAGTCCCATGGGTCGTGTCTGGGGTACAGATCCGAACGTATGCTGACGGCAGATCCTGTTTGCGAGGTGACCACCTGTTTGTCTCAGCCCAAACTTCCAAAGGGTCTGTTTAAGGAAAGGCAACTTACCAAGGTCATTGGTTGTTGGAGTCCCACATTTTGAGAGTCCAAGCGCGGATGGTTCAACACCTACAGGCCTTTGAGGACTGTGGATACATGCAGTGAGTGACCCACGGCCGTCACTCAAGACAGTTGAAGGCTCGAGATAGTCAGATAGTCCATCGCAAAAAATCAGTGAAAAAAGGTCCTCCACTCAGCGGAGCTAGCATGTTCAGATGCTGGGGATCACATCGCATTCGGAATTCACCGAAAGAATGAAGATAGAAACTGTCATGCCACCCCAACTGCAAAAGGTGTCACTGTGTAGCATCCCAAACTGGGAGCTGAAGGCGTTGATGTACCTGAGTTTACCACACGATGCTTCTTGGACCAAGGGCGACAAAAGGACTTGGGCGTCTCACATGCTCATAACAAAGCCGTTGATAAAGTTGTCTCTGGGTGTGTGTCTCTTTTAAAAACACCATTTATGAGTTATATATATAAAGAATGAACAAAAACAGGGGGCACAATCATAGTGATCCCCAAATAGAGAGATAACGGTGTCCAATACATTTTTAGCGACTCCTACGTTTCTATCTATTTGGGTCTAGAGTCTATACAAAATAAGAACCACAATCATTCAAGAAAATTCATCATCTGGACCCGGTCTGGACCGGCTCCCCCCCGCCTCCACTGACTTGCTCCGGAGGGTAGAGCTTCCTCGGGCCTGCCGGAGCACGGCGGAGCGGAGGGCGGAGCACAGCAAAGCACTGAGAGAAGATGTCTCACTCGAAACATGTGGGGGGGGCGTTCTGTCCATTCAATGGTCCAATGGTTTCACTACACGGGATGGAAGCCCTGAAATACGGGGCTTTCTGGTTGCTTTGGAAGCCCAGTTCGCCATTGACTCGCATGGACTTCCGCAGAAGCGCCCAGGAACCGAAGCGTGATCCGCTCGGACCATCCAAACCACCCGTGGACACCCTGTCATCCCTCCGTGCCTCCTCTGTCATCCGCAGGACTTCCTGCCCCGAAGGAAGGAGCAAAACGTCGTCACACGAAGCCGGCACACGCACGTGTGCTTCGTGAAGATGCGGGAGACTGCTGGGAGGCAGGGTTTTCTGATCTCCTTGGTTTTCTTGGTAAATCCATAGTATATCGCACGGTATTTCCTGGCAAAGGACCACAAGTATCAGCTGCAAACATGGCCACCACCAAATACGATGATCACCATTGATGCAAGATGACCACCACCTGTCGTTTCACAGAAATGGAGCCCAAGGGAAGATCGATCGTCACGGGTTTGCTTGGCAGTAGCGAGAAATGAGAGCAGCCAGGAGAATTCACATGGAGAAATCACATCAAACGTAGCGCGGCTAAACCCCAAACCCTTGCCCCAAAGATCCCAGAGAATGTGACTCACAAGTAGGCCGGACTTTGGTGATGTGGCCTTGAAGAGCGCAAAGGCTTCATCCAAACCTCTCCATTTAGACCCCCAGTTCAACCCCCTGCACGAGGAGCAATAGACTAGAACTACCCATTGGTTGGGGTCCATGGGAGTACAATGTTTCCGATAACATCTGAACAATTGGTCGATCACGATGTAATTGTTTACAATGATGGCTATTATGATGATTTGGTTTCAATTATGGACAATATTCTGATGCACGTGTGCTTCTGAAGGGTCACAGGTCGTCGCTCTTCAGCCCCACCAGCTGGCTTTGTTAGCCAATCCGCCGAGCAACGTCATGACGTGACCACGACCTAAACGAGCACCCTATTTGGACTCGGACCTTCGACAAAAACCGATGAAAAAAACACCCAAACAAACAAAGTTTAACCATGTTTAACATATTGTTTAACATCCTGAAACATGTGCCACATGGGGTGTGTTGGTTGTCGGCTTATATAAGACTGAAGAGATCCTTTTTCACATCCCTTGTCCAAAATCCATGTGCCGCTCCCGTTCCAGCGCCTGGAATTGCTTGGCTGGCCAGCACGGGCACCTGGCTGCCATTGAAAATTGGTCAGTCATCCTTGAGCAATTGCAAAAGAACATCATCGAGGATCATTTCAATCACAGGACAACCATCCAACAATGATCAACAATGTTGGATGATAATTTATTGTCGTCTCATGTCTATGATGTTTCCCAAACATAAGGGGTCCTTCTGAAATGAGCGACATGTCCAAAAGATACGTATCGCAACCAGTCACAAGACGGGGTGGGTTGGTTTGTTCGTCCCATCCAGTGAGTGGATGTCCTGGGCACCCCGACTTCCTCCAATAGGCACCCCTTTGTGACTGCTGGAAGGTGCTTCTACAAGGAACATCACACGAAACAGAATCCAAAATGACTGTGCCTTGTGCCTTCACACACGAAGTCCCTGTTGAAAAAAAAACGAAACCTCCGGCCATCACTCAGTAAACTAGCCATTGTGATCAATGGCGACTGACTGGCCCGACAAAAGCACCTGCAACTCTGGGACGAACGGTTTAAACCATGTTGGTTCCCTTAAGAAGTTGGTTGTGGTCGAGAATCTGTAGCTAAATGACACAAACCACAACAAGCACTTAATAATTTATTAAATTCACAATCATCATTATATAATCATCAATCAGCGTCTCCAAAGAGGCTTGAACATGCTTTAAATCCTCTTGGAAACACCAATCACTCTATTCTGCCGTCAAGACCTTGGAACTGCAATGACGGGCGAATCTCTGCGCATTTTTTTATCGACGTTCCATGTTGCCACCACAGAATCTTCCTAGTCCTAGTAGGGCGCCAACCACCTCAGAAGGTAGTTAGACCTCCAGTCGACCCTCTAAACACTGCAGCTCAGGAGGTTTGTGTTTAGCCCATAATCTGCCTTTTTGCATCAGCACTACCCCCCACAACCCTGCCAAGCATCCACCTGCCAATCTTCTTTAGACTTAAGAATCCTGATACAAAACCCCAAACACTCCATGTATGGCATATATACATACGTGAACCCCTGAAATCAACCACCCCTGGCCTGATCGCTTTTCATATGCCAGTTCCAGACAGGTCGTGTTGGGACGAACAAACCGACCCACCCCTGTCTTGTGACTCCTGGATCTTAGTCTTGATTCTTGATCCATCTTGTACCCAGCTCGATCCTCCACACGACACAACCCCGCCTCGGACACACCTGTCGGCTTCAATCCTCCACACGCACGCGCCAAGGTCTCAGCGAAGCCTTGGGGCAAGACACGACTCTCACGACCTGCGCACCCCACAAAACATTTAAGACATTGAAATGACGGTGTTTCTTGCGTTCCACACACAACATACTAAAAGTCTCAGAAGAATGTACACATACCAAGCAAAAAAGGTTTCCGCATGCCCCGAAGTCCCCCCAAAACTGCCCAAAATCGCACTCGCGCTCGCTTGGTTTGAGACACACGATTCGTTTTCTCTGCTGACCTCGTCACCTGAGAGCCCGGGCCACGCAAACCCAAGGTCTGAGCCCGGGCGAGGAGCAACCCCACCGAGCCCTTGACGATGTCCTGAGAGCCGGGCGAGCTCTGAACCGAAGGACGACGGAACGAACCGAAGGACGACGAAGGCGGTTTCGTCTTCTTTCCTTCCCGGGCCACGCGTGGTCACACTGATTTGGGGTCTCTCGCCCGGGAGATCTTCTTTGAAGGGGGACGCTTTTTGTTCAGGCTGAAACGACACAGGTGGCATGCTTTTTGAAAGCGACCCCCATGAGTGTGGAACTTGCCGAACTCCACCATCCTCGGAATCTGATCGGGCACCGGGTAGGCCCGTGAACGGTGTTCGCCGGACAAAAACACCACAGTGGCACTTCTCGGCACCCACCGCTGTCCCAGGCGCGTAGCCCAGTACAACTGCAGGG